ATTGACAGCAAGCTTCAAAACTTTATATGTCAAATTTGTGGAAGGTGTTAACATTATAGATATTTTTACACTTAAAAAATGTCAAATTTCATGCCAAGAAAAGAGCATTTGTGGGAACTTTTAATTCATTACTTTATTTTGAAGAAAAGTGCTGCTGAATACTTGGAAAAGCTGATGGTGAACATGCCCTATCTCAAGATACTTGTGAATGCTGGTTTAAATGCTTTAAAAGTTATGATTTCAAAGTGAAAGATGTGTTTCTCTCACATCCATGTTTCTCTCTCTGAGTCTCACCATCACTTCCACTCTAAAAATTAATTCGAAAAAATGTCCTTGGATGAAGATAAACAAACAAAAAAACAAACAAAAACATTAATGTTGCAGAAATACATATATCTATATTAAAAGTTTTTCACTGAATTTTTGTTAAATTAAGTAACACAAAGCTAATTATAACCTTGTTTTCTGTATTATAAAGCATAAGTACAGAACAAATCTAAGAGTAAAACTGGAGAAGTTATTAGTAGTAATCTCTGGATGGTGAACTGGAGGTGATTTTTAATATCTCTGTTAGCTTTGCTAAACTTAATTAATGTTTCTCCTTTGTTCTGAGTTTTATCCTTTGTTTCATAAAGTTAACATGAATTAGTTCTTTTAAGAAAAATGGTTTCTGTGTGTGTGTGTGTGTGTGTGTGTGTGTGTGTGTGTGTGTTTTAAAGAGCTGGCTGGCATCACTTCGTACCCAGGAGAATGGCTAAAATGGCATAGACACACTTAAAATATTGGCAAGAATACAAAGTCATAGGAAATCTCATATATTTGCTGGTAGAATTACTTTGAAAAACCTGCAGCCCTAGTAAAAGCTGAACACACAGCTTTGTCAAAATCTAGAATCTAGACATCTCTCTCATGGAGTGTATATATGTATGTACTCACCAGAAGACATACACACATAGTTCATGCAGTGCTATGTGGATCATCTCTATGTTGGAAACAACCCAAACACCCATCTACCATGAAACAGAAACCCAGCTGTAGTCCACTCACATACACATGAATGAGAAATGAGAATACCATCAACACAGATGAATCTCTCAAATTCAACATTGGGCAAAGGAAGCCAAATAGAAAAGAGTACATATTCTTCTCTTATATAGAGTTCAAAAACAGAAAAACACATCTGTGGCTTCCGATGGTCTTAGGAGATACTGCGAGAGGTTCTCAACCTCTGGGTCGCGACCTATAGGTTGAGAACCACTGCTGTAGAGCCTAAGAACATCGGAAAGCACATATATTTACATTCCAATTCATTAATAGTAGCAAAATTACAGTTATGAAGTAGCAACAAAAATAATTTTATGGTTGGGGGTCACCACAACATGAGGAACTGTAATAGAGGGTTGCAGCATTAGAAAGGTTGGGAATCACTGATCTAGCTGAAACACAGCATTATCTTGAAGGAGAAACTGGATTTTGATGATAAATTTTACAATTGTGGTAGGAAAATCAAGGATAGCATTTTTCTATCTATGAGACAGATTTTTCACATTATGTGAGTTTTCAGTCCCAGTGGCAGGTTAAGAAGCAGGTGAAATGTTATTCTGGGCTGAAAGGAAATACATTTCTCACCCTCTTCTCTCTGCAAAAGACAATTCTTTTTGTTTTATCCTTTCCTTGTTCTATCCCTACTACCACAGATACCCAAATACAACATTTTCTTCTCCATGCCAGCGGTCCTCCTCAAATCACTTAGTAATGTTTCTTGGCCAGAAATGCATTTAAGAGAAATGCAAGGCTCTTACTTGGTGAAACTCACTTAAAGATAAATAGGGTTTTATAATGACAATGATTAAAAAGAAACTATTTATACTATAAAATGAAATAAAACCTCCTAAAATCTAGGAGACAGCGTATTTTGAATGGAAAAGTTATATCATATCCCTGCACAGGGATATTCACATGTCTTCCATGCTCGATTTTCAATCATCCTAAGGGTTATTATAATAAAGTTTATTTTCATGCTCTAGGCACAGTTCTAGATGCTGGGACACTTTTCTTATGGAGCTAACATTCTTGCTCAAAACAAGGCTAGGAAGCCCCAATCTAACTCACAAGGTTTTTGTTTTTGTTTTCTCCTTGTATTCCAAAAACGAATAACTACTCTAACTGACTTGTTTACAAACAAACATCTTCCAAGTCATTTATAAGTATTAAGGCATTTTGCTCGTTCCCATTAAAGAAGTCATTATGGGAAATCATGTTTACTACTTTCAAAATTATATCCCTATAAATTACATATATATATATATATATATATATATATATATATATATATATATATATATGATTATAATAGAGGCCCAGTGCACAAAATTTGTGCACGGGATGTGTGTTCCTCAGTCCAGCATGCACCCTCTCCAATCTGGGACCCTTTGAGGTATGTCTGACTGTAAATGGGCAGTCAGACATCCCTCTTACAATCCAGGACTGCTGGCTCCCAACCGCTTGCCTTCCTGCCTTCCTGATTGCCCCTATCTGATTCTAGGGCCTGATCACCCCCTAGTCACTCCCCTGCCAGCCAGATCAATGCCTAATTGCTCCCCTGCCAATCCGATCGGCCCTAACTGTTCTCCCCTACAGGCCTGGTCTCCCCCAACTGCCCTCCCATGCTGGCCCAGTCACCCCTAACTTCCCTCCATTGTCAACCTGGTCCCCCTAAACTGCCCTCCCCTGCATGCCTGGTCCCCCACAACTGCCCTCCCCCACTGGCCTGATCACCCACAATGTGCCCTCCCCCATTGGCCTGGTAACCCCCATCTGCCCTCCTTCTGGCCTGATGGCCCACAACTGCCCTCTCCTACTGGCCATCTTGTGGCAACTATTTTGTGTCCACATGGGTTGGCCATCTTGTGTGTTGGAGTATTGGTCAATTTGCATATTGCATCTTTATTATATTACTAGAGGCCCAGTGCACAAAATTTGTGAATGGGTAAGGTCCCTAGGCCTGGCCAGTGATCAGGGCTGATCGGGGCCTTCCTTCATTCTGTGCCACTTTCTGGTGGTCAGTGCACATCATAGCAAGCAGTTGAACTCCCAATCAAACTCCTGAGGAGATAATTTGCATATTAGCCTTTTATTATATAGGATAAGAACCATTGTTTTCAATTATTTAACTACTCTGCATTTTCACCTCATATAAAATGGAAAATTTATATTAGTTAAATACTCTGCTAATGTTTTAGTGCTTACACAGATTTCAGTACACAGAAAACTGGACTTTACTTTTATTCTTCACTGAACTTAGCAAAGTGACTTACACAGAGTCGATATTCAGGAAATATTGGTACAAAGAATAAGTTGCAGCATGGATGAATGGGTAAGTAAACATGTCCATATTTAGAAATAAAGGGTTTGAAAAGCTAAACTGCTTTTGTGATTATAATTGCAAACAGTATACAGCCTAATAATTCTAGTGTACCATTCCACGAGGGAAATACAATTGAAACTCATTTTCTCATGAAACATAGTCTTGGCCAGGTTACTTTTAACATCCTAAGATGCCTATACATTATAGATCAAGGGAAAGAGGAAATTAGACCTTTTATCACATTTAACTTTGTCTATTATATAAACAGATACCAGAACCCTTCTAGTATCAGGTCACCATCTCTCCATAGTACATTCCTTGAACCAACAGGACTTTTTTTTATTTTGCTTTTTATTGTCTTTATTTTTTAAAATATATTTATAATTTCAGAGAGTAAAGGAGGTGGAGAAATAGAAATATCAGTGATGAGAATCATTGATTGGCTTTCCCTGCAGTCCCCAAACTGGGGATCAAGCCCTAAACCCAGGCATGTTCCCTGATCAGAAATGGAACTGGGGCCTTCTGGTTCATAGATCAGTGCTCAACCACTGAGCTATAACTAGCCAGACTCTTCCTTCTCTTTGAAACAACCTTGGGATGACAGGGCTACTTAAAGAGCCACAATTGAAGCAGGAGCACTCAATGGGCCAAATATCTCACTTTAGACCTGAGTAATCTTCTCTTTTCTAGAAACCCAAATGTATCACAGCATTTTAAAGGAATAATAACACACACACACACACACACACACACACACACATGTGTGTGTATTATTTAACATTGGTGATATATATATACTGTGCCTAACCATATATAACCATAAATTATATATATATAAATTATTTATATATATAAATTATATATATATATATATATATAATTTGAATATGATGGCAACTCTCTATATATGTATATATATACATACACACACATAGTGTTGCCATCATATTCAAATTGATCGAAGTTCTTGGCTTTCCTTGGTTGTATTAATTCACTAGATAGTGTTAGGTGATATGACGAGAGAAGCCAAGAGGCTTATAGAGATGTTACTGAACTTTTCCAGAACATTTTAAAAGAATGCAATAATTGCAGTAGCCCAAAGCAATGGAAGGCATAGAAATAATGAGCTATTAAGCTTACGATTTATCGTCAATAGGAAATCCTATAACCAAATTCTGAGCAGGCTCTTCTTGAGGTAAGAAGTGTCCATTACTCACCTACATGCATACAAGTCCCATCTGCTTCCTGATGGCATCACTTGATTTTTTGCAAAAAAAATAAAAAGGAAGCCTTTATGGATGGAAAGCCTGATGTTCTGGGCTAATTATAAGTCAGGTAATTATATCTTGCTTAAATACATTTCCCAAGTCATTTTATCTGCATTTCCTGCCTAACCCTACACCTTAATTTTATTTCCTGCTCTGTCTTGCTAAGAGCTGGAATGCACTGTTAATCAGCCCCTCGATGTGGGAGCAGGTGTAGGGACTGTGCCTAACCATCCAAGGGCTAAATGCCTCCTGACAAGGCTGGGGTGTCATCCTCTGGACAGTGATGGAGATGCAGAACCTGGGATGTTGTTTTTAAAAGACACAGGCTTGCCAAAACCGGTTTGGCTCAATGGATAGAGCATCGGCCTGCGAACTGAAAGGTCCCAGGTTCGATTCCGGTCAAGGGCATATACCTTGGTTGCAGACACATCCCCAGTAGGGGGTGTGCAAGAGGCAGCTGATCAATGATCCTCTCTCATCGATGTTTCTAACTCTCTATCCCTTTCTCTTCCTCTCTGTAAAAAAAATCAATAAAATATATTATATAAATAAATAAAAAGACACAGGGTTCCTTGAGGAATATATTACATAAATAAATAAAAATGGCTCTTTATTGGGAAAAGTGTCTGATATTACATTTATATTAAAGAAATCGGATTTGGGGGTTTGTGTATTTAATTAACATTTGTATGGCCTGGGTATTATTAGAAGATAAATTAAAAATTGGTATTGAATTTTCTAAGAAAGGACTGGCCTTTCTTGCAAGCCTACAAAACTCCAAGATTCAAGCATACCTCCTGAGAAGTTAGGTGGATGGACCACTTAGTGATATAGATGGAAAGGACAAAGGGTAGCAGTTACTGAGATGGAAGTCAAACCTTTTATTAGGGTAGGGTCATGTCACAGTACAGGCTGTAGAACAGAAAGTGCTCATATGAAGAAGCAGTCACCAGAGCAAAGGGCTGAATTTAGAAGGTCAGAGCAGAAGAATTTTATCCAAAGCCCAGTAGTAGCACATTACACTAGATTCTTACTACTGAAGGTTTAAAAAAAAAAAAACTATCAAAAGGTTTTCAAGCAGAGGTAAAAGTTATATACAATTCCACCTATTCTCTATATCTGTGTTTGAGATTAAATTTGCAACGCTAAAAAATAACCAAAAAAATGTATATAGAGTTTAACAGCTGATAACTCACTTAGTTTTAATTCATTTTCAGATATGACTGATTTGAAACAATGGATAAAGCCAGACCAAGCTTTGAACAAAGAAAATTTATCCTGCCCAACCAGTGTGGCTCAGTGATTGAGCATTGATCCAGGAACCAAGAGGTTACCAGTTCAATTTCTGGTCAGGGCACATGCCTGGGGCTCCAGGCTCAATCCCCCATAAGGGGCATGCAGGAGGCAGCCTACCTCTTACCTCCTTTCCCTTGCTGCCTATTATCAATAAAAACATAATTTAAAAAAATGTATCCTAAAGTACCACTGGATTTTAAAAGATGAAAGTTTATGGTACAAGACCAGCAACAGTCAACAAATAGAGGGCACACAAATTCCGAAGAAATTATTCTTGGTATTTGCAATTTCATTGCTTCAAGTTCTCGGCAGTGTTTGGACCAGAAGGTCATCAGTTTGAAAATAGTCACTGACCAAAAAAAATTATTCATTTCTGTAGATTCTTTTAAATTTTGAAAATGAACTGTATGTTAATAAACAGCGACTTTATAATCGTTCAAAGTGTGTATACATTTTTTGGGATTCAAGTAAAAATGTAAGAATGTTAGAAATGAGGAGTTAGAGAAAGAAAGTGATATCAAATATGCAATAAGAACATTTGTGTGCTTGAGACAAAGGGAGAGAAAACACTGAAACTATAGGAGTTTGGGGCTCAATTAACTGGAGCATTATACACCGATATGTCTGGGAGAGGTGGGGAGGGCCCAGGGCAGAGAAGGGTCCTAGGATCGACACAAACATCATCAAGAAACAGATTCATAATAAGTATATCACACCCACAACCAGGACAGCAGCACCTTGAACACAGGAGTCTGGAGATAGGCACTTCTGTGTTAATGTGCATGTTTGTTGGGGGGGATGGAGGGTGGGAGGGGGAGGAGAAAGGGGGAATGAGGGTGCTTGCACCTCAGAGCAATCTAAAACTTTTCCTCTTTATATAAGCAGAGTTGCTCAGAAACCAGGTACCTATAGGAAAAGAAAGTTCCCCGAACAAAAGAAAAAAATCAAAATAAACAGAATAAATGCCAAAAGATAGACTTCTTAGAACAATCTATTTAAAGGCTGGTGTATTTACCATAACAGTTTGTGTATCAATTAGAGCTGATTATGGGAGTTCATCTGGTGCTGAGTAACAGGGCAGGACTCACACAACCACCGCTTGGCATGATTCAGAAATAGAGATGAATATTATGTACCTTAGTGGCATGGTTATAAAGAAATAGAAATCCCAAAGTATTAATTAATGTGTCATTTTACATTCTGAGATCATCCAGGCAGGCTCTCAAGAGAAACAATGAATCTGAGGGTAGGAAATTATTTTTATTATTTGTAAACATTGAGACAATATTTGTGTTTGGTTATTTTGTTTTCTACCTCACTTCATTTTCTCTGTTATTCTTCTAAAGCAATCTCTTCAAGGGAAAAAAGGCATTATGTAAATGTATCATCAAGTAATACTTCTTATTAGATCACCTCATTAGGCAACATCTTGGTAGGTTTCTAGAGTTCTTTAAATTAACATCCATCCCGTTCTCTCCTTTTCCTTCCCAAGGGTAAATCTACTGCCAATCTTAAACTCACTATATCTGGCTATAAATTATTGTATAACTCTCAGCCACTGTCATTTGTATTGCTTTTGCATTATCTTTTTTTTTTCTTTCTATTATATAATAGCTTTCCAGGGGAATTTCACCGGAAACACATGGCTTGCATTTAGTATTTTCAACAATATCACACAGATAGATAATAAGATTTATTTACCCCAATGCTTTCTCATCTTGCTAGTATTTGTTATCACAAAAGCTTCCAGGAAGTAAATGGTTTCACATAATACTTTTTTTTTTTTTTGAGCAAATTTCTTCCTCTTACAGCCCATTCCAAATTGGAAGCTGCAATGTGAAGAAAGCGATCAAAATGTCTATAAAAGCTACTAAGAAGCAAACTATTGCATCTGCATAAGTATTTCATTCAGTCCCCTGGGGAGTCAAAATTCAAGTTTCCTGGAAGTGAATACAAACATCTATCATTTTTCCCCCCTTTTTCAGAACTGGAAAAATACATACAACAAAACAAAATATAAAAGATTTAATTATATGGAGGCCTCCCTCTTCTAAGTCTATAAAGTTTTCATTTTCTTTGTCTTTCCTATTTTCTGGAAAGGAAATTCAGATATATGTGTGTAATAGTATAGCACTAGAAACACTTTCCCTCACAAAATATGGGATTGGAAAGAACTTTAAGTAACTGTCACGGTTATCTGTTGTCCTAGGTCATCAATGTTGGGGTCTTGAGTGACTCACTGAGGTATTGTATGTCATTTATTTACTAATCCTCACTGGAGGATGTGTTTTTAGAGATAGAATATAGGGGGCAGGAGAGAGAGAGATATTGAGAGAGAAACATTGATCAGTTGTCTATGGTACGCACCCCAACCTGGGATTGAACCCATAACCTAGGTATGTGTTCTGACGTGGAATCAAACCCACAACCCTTTGATGTATGGGATAATACTCCAACCAACTGAGCCACCTGGCCAGGACTGAAGTTTTTTAAAAATAAAAGTGCCTTCTGCAAGTTAAACTAAAATATAAACACTTACTGAAAAGAGAGGAACAAAATTAGCACAAAGAGACGAACTGGCTCCCAAGCCAGCAAGACTCCCCTGTAACCTGACTGATAATATCAACAGAGCTAAATAATAAAGGATGGGGTCTGGAGGAAGCTGGAAAGACAGGCCAATGTGAAGGCCAAAGCAGAGGAAGCAAGATGTGCTTTGCATCCAACTACTTCCAAACAAAGAGGGCTTCATGGTCCAAAGAATCTGTTTCCTTTAACTCCCAAACCATCATCGGCTCCTGATGATCTGATCCATGCTCAAGAAGCAGGCATTTCACTCTAATTTGGCTCCCCGCATGGTCAGCCTACAGGGAGAGATTTGGCAGGGTGGAGAATGAGTCCCCAGTCCCTCCAGCATTATATGTTTTTTCATTATAAATTGATGCATTGGCATCCTGGTGTGTAATTTGGCTCTCCACACACCTTGCCTGCTTAGAATGTACCAGCCAGACCATCCGATCCCTTCAGCAATTGCTCTTCTCATTTTAAATTAAAACAGCGACATTTTGATTGTAGAGCTCAATCTTGCAGATTCTGATTATATTTGAGTTCAAACTGGAGTGTGCCGATAGATCAAGTTCTGTCAAAAGAATCTGACTTTGAACAGCAGAAAACTCATTAGAGGTAATGTCAGGCATCTTGAGAGACAGCTTTCAAGACTTCCCTATGTGATGTAATTTCAGCCTCCAGAATTGCATGAGGTGCGCTAAGTTCCTCCCCCATTCTGAAACTTCTAGGCATTTCATCCACACTATCTGAAGAAGCCGCTTCAGATAAAATCTCTGCTAAATCCTCTCTCATATAAGTGAAGCCCAATTTCTTTTTCTGCTTTCTCATTAAAAATGAAATTTCCAAGACAGTTCAACATTATTTTAGTTTTCTCAAGGACTCATTTTTATAGACCTTTCTCTTACATATATATCCCCAATTGTATTTGTCCGCCTCAGATCATTGTTGTTTTTTATGTCTCTAAACCACGCCCACACATGTTTGAGTTACACTGGTCCCTATGTTGAGATGATACTCAAAATAGTACAACAGCAATACTGAATGGAACTGAAAATTCCAGTTTATCTTTTAAAAATGGTTATATAATTCTAGACTGTTTTTTCCCAGGTGAGTTTTTATTTATACTTTTGTTTGTGTTGCCATAGATTTTTATCTCTCATCCCATCTAATAAAGAGGGAATATGCTAATCCCATCACAAAGGTGGCTGCACCCACAGCTGAGGCCAAATTCCCATAAAAAGCCTTAAGGAGCCAAAACTGGTTTGGCTCAGTGGATAGAGCATCTGTCTGCGGACTGAAAGGTCCCAGACTGAAAGGTCAAGGGCATGTACCTTGGTTGCGGGCACATCCCTGGTGTGGGGTGCGTAGGAGTCAGCTGGTCGGTGTCTCTCTCCCATTGATGTTTCTAACTCTCTCTCTCCTCTCATTTCCTCTCTGTAAAAAAATCAATAAAATATATTTTTTTGGGGAAAAAAAAAAAGCCTTAATGAGACCTGAAGCTACGCCCTCCCACCCCCTTGGGGCTTGACAGAGGACCTCAGGCTGCGCCCCACTACCCTAGCTGGGGACCTCAGGTTGCACCCCCCGCCCCAGTGCCAGGCCAGGGAACCTGAGGCCATGCCCCCTGCCTGGCAGGGTTTGATGGGGGACCTTAAAGTGTGCTTCCCATCCTGGTGCTGTGCTAGGGGACCTCAGGTCATGCCTCCCGCCTGGCAGGGCTTGACAGGGGACTTCAGGCCACGCCCTCCACCTCAGCACTGGGCCAAGGGACTTGAGGCTGCAACCCCTGCCTGGCTGGGCTTGACAGGGGACCTCAGGCCGTGCCCCCCACCCAGCAGGGCTTGATGGGGGACCTCAAGGTGCATACCCAGCGCTGGGTCAGAGGACCTGAGGCTGCATCCCCCCCACCAGGCAGGGCTTGACGTGAGACCTCATGCCATGCTCCCCACTCAGAGGGGCTTGATAGGGGATCTCAGGCCATATCCCCTATCTGGTAGGGTTTGATGGAGGACCTCAAGGCATTCCCACCACCCTGGTAGGGCTGGGGGACCGCAGGCCATGCCCCCCATCCTGGCACCAGGCCAAGGGATCTGAGGCTATGCCCCCTGCCTGACAGGGCTTGACAAGGGTGGGACTGGCTGGGTCTGGATCTAGCCCAATTGGGGGCCGGCCGAGTCTGAGTCTCATGTGATTTTGAGGTGCATGTGGGTGAGCAGGGACTTGACTCCGGGTCTCATGGTGTGCCCCAGACTCTGACAGGAGGAAGGTTTTCATATACATTTTACTAATTTTCTTTCATCTCTGACACTTCTATAATAGAGAAAGGGCAAATAGCAATATTAAATTATTTCCTCTAATTAACCCCCTTTTAATGTGCATGAATTTTGTGCACTGGATCGCTAAATATTTGAATAAAATCAACCCTAACACTGAATAACTATCTGTTCTCAGTAAAATACTCTGGTTTCAGCAGTATGGTATCAAATTACATTCAATTTTATTTTCTCCTGCCTCTGTCACTTTTAACCTCCAATTCACTTGTAGTTAACAATCTAGTAAATTACAGTCAACTTTTAGTTGTTTGAAGCCTGATTATTTTCCCCACAAATGCTGTTTTCAAATTTAAGAACAAACCAGTATTTCATGTAAGCAGGTTTGATTTGTTTGTATTTCCAATGAGCTCTGAACAGTGTTGTTTTCCAGAATTCTGTGTCACATATAATGGAAATCTGTTGGAACTATGTTCTGTTACATACCAAATGAATCAATGGGTGAAAATTATATATGTATACATATATATATGTGGTGGGTGTTTTGCTTAATATTAACAGTATCTATTCCAAAAATGGAAGAAAGAAAAAGAATAAATTGTCTATGAATAGAAGGAAGAAAACCAGTCATTGTCACGGAATATCTTATAACTTCATTATCATATTTCCAGTGTATTTTTAGATATGGTTTATACATATCTAAAAAGATTATTTTAAAATACCCCAAAGCCAAACATTAATTTTAAAAGTATATAATATATTAATTCACCTTTTGGCTGCCTTTTAATAGTTTGGTGATTCCAAAATTGTAATTGTTTGTGAAGTTCATGTGACTACTTATTTGGAAAGAACACAGGTATGTACTTCCCTGCCTTGGTTGATATGATTTTATTAACACTTCCTAATTTTACTTTAAAATATTATACCCACTCTCTTCAGGCAAACTCATAACTGTGAAACTGCTGTTAGTAGAGCTGAAACTTCTACTGTCTGTGATTATGCATTAAGCTTCTTTAGTAGACTTGAACATCTCATAATATTGGTCCCCTTAATTCTATGATTTGATCACCATTTTGATGTTTTGAAATGAAACAAAATAAAAACATTTCTTTTTGGTTTCTAGAGACCTTTAGATGGCCACCTTCTAAGAAGGAAAATGGATTGATTTTAACATTTGGGCTAATACAATGTTATAAGAATTATAAAATACTAAATATAATCAACAGTTTTGCTGGACAGTACCACAAAGTGGCCTGTATCTTCCCAGGTTCCTTTTTTTTTTTTTTTTAAATGTATTTTATTGCTTTCATTGAGGAAGGGAGAGGGAGAGAGAAATAGAAACATCAATGATGAGAGAGAATCACTGATCAGCTGCTTCTTGCACATCCGCTACCGGGGATCAAGCTCACAACTCAAGCATGTGCCCTGACCGGGAATTGAATCATGATATGATTCATAGATCAATGCTCAATCACTGTGCCATACAGGCTGGACCCCATGTTCCTTCTGACATCTACCTCCTATCCATGTCCCCTTCTCCCCTCACCCTCACTCTGCATACTAAGTCCCCTCCCTCCTGTTACCCAGCATAGAGACACCTCTCCTGTCCTCTCTACCTCCCAATTATAAGAGCAAACAGTTACTTTATTCTTTTGATAGAAAGTAATGCTTTCTCCAAGAGAATATATATCTCTACAGATATCATGTCATAGGTCTGCCCCCGGGGCACTATCACTCACTGGCAGACCTAGCCATCTCCTTCCTCATTCTAATAGGATTTCAGAATAAGCTGTCAACAGCTAATTGCTGAGGTAAGAATGCAGCATCTGGCAGGTTGAATGTATCAGGCTTCTGTATTCAAGTTTCTTTTGAAAAGATCAAAAACAAAACAAAATAAAAGGAAAAAAATCAACATTTTTTTCCTATCTTATGTCAGAATGGAAGTGGATAACCTTTTGCAACATATTCCTATTTCATCAATATACAATGCAGCTGCTCTCTTTGAAATACCTTGATATTAAAAAACATGAAAGTCAAGTTCTCTATAGAAATAAAGGTATGTTTTCTATTTCTTTCACATCAAATGTTTTTCAATATGGTTACAAAAATAATACTTCCATCTAAACCATATTTTTAAAAATATACTTATCAAGGCCAAATTGGGAATATTGTAGGGGAAAAGGTAGTATTTCAAAATGAATCTTTTATAATAGTCTCTTCTGGCCTATTTCTTAATAAAAATGCCTCACCCTTCATTTTAATTATGCTGAAAGCACATGGCAATTCTGCAGTCTAGAAAAAAATGAAAAATCTCTAAACCAGCTTCATTTTCTCTTTTCTCCCCTCCCTCCATCCCTTCCTTCCTCCCTCCTCATCTCCCTCTCTCCTTATCTCCCTTCCTCCCTCCCTTTCCTTCTTTCCTCCTTCCCTTTCCGTTTCCCTTCATTCATTTTTTTTTTTTTTTTTAACATTTGGCCAACAATACATGGTCTAGAGGCATATAAGCCTAGACTTTAATATTGGTTTGGATTCTCAACACTGAATTTACTGTTTTTTCTTTAGTGAGTTAATTAACCCTTATAAAGTTAAGTTTCTTCAGTGATAAAGTGGAAATAGTGACATATAACTTACAATGTTTGGGGGTGGACTGAATATATATATTCAGAAAAGCCTTAAGGGTTAGGCTGAGTATTCTTGAAGAAATTCTCTCTGTGAATTCTCAAGAAGCAGCCTCAGCTGCTTCCTGAGGGTCCCGGTTTGCTTTTACTGACAATTGCATGAACCAATTCTATGTGATTAACCTCAATGTATCTTTTACTGGTTCTGTGTCTCTGATTGAATCCAGACTGAAATGTTGGCCAACAGGACACTATATATATATATATATATATATATATATATATATATATATATATATATATGTGTGTGTGTGTGTGTGTGTGTGTGTGTGTGTGTATGTGTCTGTGGTAAGCACTTAATACTAATGCAATTTTCCCTTAATTTAAATCATAAACTAATTTGGAGATAAAATTTTTTAAATATTATTTATCTAACTATATAGAAGAGAATATCTTTAGCCTGAATTCAAGATCCAATACCAAGAGGAAAAAAATCATCATTTTCTTGAACAGAATTGAAGATAGGAGGCAAAGGTTGAAATAGCCATGACATTGCTAGCCCACTAACACTTTGCAATATTACACAACTGTCATAAAAAACCACCCAGTGGCTGGTTTTGGTAAATTGTAGGAAAAAACAACAGCTTAGATTCCAGCTACCATTTAGTGACTTAATATTTTAGAGAAGTTTGATCCTTCACTAGTGGGAAAATAACATATTGGAAAACATATTGGCTTTGAAATAAAGTGTATGTATTATTTAATTTGTATATAATTCTATAAAAATTATCCTTGCAACTGATTTTCACTTTCTTTCTTTAACTTTTCTTTGACTTTGCATGGTGGTGGGATCTGATTCAATTTTAAGAGAGAAAAATAAACTTCAAAATAATGTTGTTGGAGTGACAGCCTATTCTGCTGTTTTCCTAAGGTTATGGGTATAGGGCGTTCTTATTCAGATCAATGGAGATACTTCCCTTTAGGCAGAACTTTGAGCCAATAATAAGTTAATAATGTCATATTCTGGTGCACATAGATCATCTTGGTTAAAATGTAAATAAAGGTACCTATTTTTAATTTTTGTTTTGAAGTAACAGAGACAGGAAAACATTTGTCTTTGACTTATCTTCCTGAGAAAAGTTGATCTTCTGGATTCATTTAAATTGGCATTGCTACAACCATATAAAATGATATTTTATTTGGCGATCTGACACCAGAAATAAAGAGGTATGAGAAAGAAAGCTCCCTCAACACCTTGAACAGGTCAATCACACCTGTCTATGCTGATATAAAGAGGTACGCGTGGAACAACTGAGGAAATAAATCTTGCCACTGTAGAATTTCTCAGCTGTGCATTTAAAAAATAATCATAGCTGGCTGGTATTATCAGTTTTATGTGTCAATTTTGCAAGGATACAGCATCCAGTTATTCAACCAAACACTGATCTAGGTGTTGCTATTTTACAGATGACCTAAAAGTCCATTCTCAGTTGACTATAAGTGAGAGTGACTGGGACAGATAATCTGGATGGGCCTGATCCAATCCATTGAAAAGCCTTAAGGGTTAGGCTGAAT